TTGAACTGAAATGGAATAAATATGGAATTACATTTTGAATATAAACAAGGTATGCATATAAATTTGGAAACTCTAATAGCAGCAGCCTGATATATATAAGCATTCCTTATGTTTTTTTCAAGAGCTATGAACAGAAACCTAAGAACAAAGTAGGACTATATTCAGATAATCTGAATTCCATCTGCACCTCTAATCATATCTGGGTTTCTTATTGTCTGGCCTACGAAGCCATACACGTAACAATAGCACTCAAGTTCTTTAGCACAATTGTGGCTGCCTGAATTTGAACTAAAGGTACAATATTTGTGACGTTTGCTACCTGCAATGTGTTCCACATCTTTGTCATGATCTACCTGTACTTTTGCTTAAGCCTGACACTTTTCTGTTGCTTAGTTTGCCTCTCTCTTTCATTTATTCTGCTGTGACCCCTACCAGTTACCTGTGTGAGCTTCTGCCATGTCTTCTGCCACCTGTGGCATTGCCATCTTGTCTTTATACAAGTAGCTAAATGGGAAGTTTGCATTATAATTAGAAAATAAGATTTCAAATCAGCTTTCAGGACTGGCCATAACAAGCTGAGAGGTGCCTGGGAATAAAAGAAATCCTGAGCAACTGAAAAATCTGTGTCACATTTAACAGTGAGTGATTTCCAATGTATCAAAGGCAAATGTGTAATCAGAATGAACATGAAGAAATGTTCATACTATGAGCACTTCAAAATATTGGTGTGTACAGTTTGCATCATACTGACAATCTGTCAGACATTTTTTTGGCAGGATATCGTGCAATGCACTAAGGAAGGGAAATACAATAGAATTTCCCACCTTTCTATACCTAGAATGGCTTTCTTTCTAAAGCACACTGGAGTTTGGTACTGGGCATAACCCACATGATGCTGGCAGCGGTGGGGTTGCAAGCTGGGCTGGAGCAAAAGAACTACAGGAACTGAGCAGAGGACTCGGGGGGAGTTATGTCTCCAGCAGGGCTGTGGCCAGTAAAGCAGCCTATGCCAAAGCAGTGGAGGAAGAAACAAGGAGCCACCAAAGAAGAGGAACCACAACGTGCAGACCCCAGTCTCCCACACTGCCCACTGCAGGTGTAGCATACAGGCAGCAAGGGGATTGGAGATGGGAAGGGTGAGGAACAGAGTCTGGAGAGGAATCCAAGTGTAGTTCTCTAAGTGTTTGTTTGCCTGTTTCTATTTTTCAGTAGCAGAATCAGAAATTAAAAGTTTGTTAATTGGCCAATAAATCAAGTAAAATTCCCCAATGCAAAACTTGTTTTATAGCCAGCAATAGCCTTCACAAACCAGTGTTTGTGGTTATTCTTAAAACATTTGGTACAGTTCTTAAAATTAGATTTGCTGAAGTCAGCCTTCTCCAATGAAATGGCTAGCTTGGTAAGGGGTGAGCAGTGGATGTCATTTACCTCTCTTTTAGGAAGGCTTTGACACTGTCTCCCATGGCGTCCTCATAGACAAAGTATGGGTTAGGTAAATAGGCAGTGAGGTGGATTTAAAACTGGCTGAGTGACAGGGCCCAGAGGGTTGTGAACAGCAGCACAAATTCTGGCTGGAGGCAATTCACTAGCAGTGTACCCCACAAGCTAATACTGCGTGGGTCCAGTCCTGTTCAAGGTCTTCGTTAATGACCTGGACAGTGAGACAGAGCACATCCTCAGTAAGTTCACAGATGATACAAAACTGGGAGGCAGGGATGATACACCGTATTAAACATGCTTATTATTAAAAACTGCAAAATATTTCTTTTTAAAGCAAGATACTACTTTTAAATGTGCACCATTATCCAGAATTTCTTCTTTACCTGAATTCTGAGAGCTTTTCCTACCTCTGCTGCCACAGCTTTCACCAAACTTGACCTGCTGCTTGGGAGCAGCTCATTGCGAACATTTCTTAAGAAGGGAAATAATATAGAACTACCCAAAAAAATTACTTGGAGCTGAATAATTCCATGTTATATCCTTCTTTCAGTCACATTACATCTTAGAAAAGGAATGAAGTGTGCTGCTGGCCAAGTTAATTATCCTACTTTTCCTGAATTTAATATGTCAAAGGTCTTCTGGTTTCTTAACTCAACAAGGAAGAAAATGCATGTAGGTTTGTTTTATTATTATCTTCCTGACCTTCTTCTAACATTGACTGGAGATTATTTATGTGCAGGGAAGGATAGATACCTTCAACACTCTGTGCTTTTTTATTGTATGCAAGTCAACTAGATATGAAAATGTGTTACTTCCTTGATTCTATCGCCATCAGCAAACTCTTATGGGTCAGTGAGTAGAAAGCAAAGCAAACAAAAATCATGCTTCCTAGTAGTGGAACAAGTGCAATAAATAGTTGTTAAACCATTCTGCAAAGATATTATGATCTTCAAATCCATTCTTTATTTGATTTTTGATCATCTTTTTAGTTTTGTTTGTCAGGACAGGGAAGCAAAAATTTATTTTCATACCACTATAATGAATATAACATTTTATACCTTGTAAGTTTCTTTCCTTAAAAGTCTCCTTCTATTCCTTTTCACTAAGAAAGAAAGTCAACTCCTCTCATCTAATCTCTTTTACCAATTTAAAAGATATGCATCTAATCTCAATTTGCTGTCTAGGTTCCCCTTACTGTCGGTGCAGCAAGACAGGCACTAAAAGAAAGTAATATACTTTGTAGCAGGATAGGTTATTTTGCTGTATAGAATATGGTCTAGTAGGATCCCTGAGGTGTTTGAGATAGCCGAGGTGAGTCATTACACATAATCACAGAATGGTCAGGATTGGAAGGGACCTCTGGAGATCATCTAGTCCAACCCCCCTGCCCAACAGGATCACCTACAGCAAGCTGCACAGGGTGACATCCAGGCGGGTTTTGAATGTCTCCAGTGTAGGAGACTCCACAACCTCTCGGGGCAGCCTGTTCCAGTGCTCTGTCACCCTCAAAGGAAAGAAGTTCCTCCTCATGTTAAGATGGAACTTCCTATATTCAAGTTTGTGCCTGTTACCTCTTGTCCTATCACTGGGCACCACTGAAAAAAGACTGTTCCCATCCCCCTGGAACCCTCCCTTTAAGTTTTTGTAAGTGTTAATAATATCCCCCCTCAGTCTTCTTTTCTCTAGACTAAAAAGACCCAAGTCCCTTAGCCTTTCCTCATATGAGAGATGTTCTAATCCCCTAATCATCTTCATAACCCTTTGCTGGACCCTCTCCAGCAGATCCCTGTCTTTCTTGAACTGGGGAGCCCAGAACTGGACACAGTACTCCAGATGTGGCCTCACCAGGGCAGAGTAGAGGGGGAGGATGACCTCCTTCGACCTGCTGGCCACACTCTTTTTGATGCACCCCAGGATGCCATTTGCCTTCTTGTCCACCAGGGCACATTGCTGGCTCATGGTCATCCTGTTGTCCACCAGGACTCCCAGGTCCCTTTCCACAGAGCTGCTCTCCAGGAGGTCAGCCCCCAACCTGTACTGATGCATGAGGTTATTCCTCCCCAGATGCAGTACCCTACACTTGCCCTTGTTGAATTTCATTAGGTTTCTCTCTGCCCAGCTCTCCAGCCTGTCCAGGTCACGCTGTGTGGCAGCACAGCCTTCTGGTGTGTCAGCCACCCCTCCCAGTTTTGTGTCATCTTTGTCATCTTTTGTCATTTTTTGATGCCTGTCTGTCCCCTCATCAGTGTGATGAGAACCCAGGAGATGACCTCAGACTAGCAGTCCAGGTTCAACACCTTGTCTGAAGACATGACGCCTACATGGATTTGCTAGTTTTTAATGTCATATTTCACTCTAAGCCAGCAGCGGAGCCCATTATTTTTCTTTAATATAGTACTTAGAGAGTAAGCTCCTGAAAGAAGCAGTCTTACCTTCTATTAATAATTCCTTATTACAGTTGACCTCTGCTGCTGTGGTTTTAAGAAAGGCTGTCCTTGGTACCCCTCATTTTTATTAGCTAAACTTTTTATCATACAAGCTGGTGAGAAAAGTAATTAAATTTACCAGAGATAACTCTTATTTCATAATTCCTTGCAGTTAAAAGCCAAAGAGAGAACACTTGAATTGAATTAGTGTTATGGCCTCTTAAAGAAGATACATGACATTTCATTGTAAAGTAAACTTTTATATCCACAGGACATTTATAATATTTTCAAGGGTAAGATGAGAGCTTTCTTATTAAAAAAAAAAAATAATTAAAATTGCCCTCCATAGTTTAAATTCTTACACTAACACTATTTAATATATAAAATACAAGTTTTCCTATTGAGCTGGTGCTTTCTTTTCAAGCTTCTCATGAACCTATTCCCATTCTCCCCCCGCACCCTATGGCTTCTTTTAGTTGTCTGTCCTTTATATTGAATTTTGAATGAAACTTATAGAGATGTCAGGTCAGGTCCTTTAGGGACCACAGCTGAAATCGTCAAGCTCACTTTCATTGTTTCCAGTTGGTGACAAATGGCAATTTTATTTAGCAAGGGATGGATCTCTGAGGTTGGATTGATGGATGAGGCCATGAGAGGTTGGGCCAGCTGACAAGGTTATCCCTACCAGCTGTCTACCCATCCCTACTGCATGAGTGTGTGTGCTGCTTGTCAGTCAGCTTTTGAACCACTGCTATTTACTCTGTAGTGTTTTAAGGCAGACTGTAATTGGTGACAGCTTACTTGACTTTAAAATGCTGTGCTGCAAATGGTGGTGGTTCCAAAACTCACTGATGAGTAGCTCAGACATCTGTGCAGTCAAGGCAGGCTGGACAGATAGGGTGGCAACAGTGTCAGCTGTCCCAAGCAAAGCCAGCCCTTTCTGACATTCAGGAGTCCTTTATTTTGTCTTTGCTTTTTTGTATCGTTTGGTTTGGTTTGTTTCAGGTTATAATCAGCCTGCTATCTAAGAACCCCAGCTTTGAAATGTTTTTAAATGGGAAATGTATAGGAACCCCAGTCCTGTTTTGAGATTTCACTGCAAAATCCTGAAATGTTTTTAATTCTTGTCTGTAGGCTGGAGCAAATGTGCTGCTGCAAGATGTTAATGGAAACATTGCACTTGATTATGCCATAGAAGGAACTGAGTCTAGCAGCATCCTTCTGATGTACTTAGAAGAAAATGGTAAGTCAGCTCTTCAGCTTCTGGAGTGTTTTTATTGAACATGACCTAAAACCGAAAAGGATGGATATTGGTTTGACATAAGTCAGTGCTGGAGCCAGTGGAACTATATTAGTTTGGAGATGAAGGGAAGGAAGATGATTTGGAGTCACAAAAGTTTTCAGTGAATTTAGATTGGAACAACAAACAAAGGTTAGTGGCAGTGGTCATTGTCAGATCTGCTTTTGCCCATTCATATGGAAATGCTAGCATGTGAATTCAAAGCAGAAAAACTGCAGTAATGCAGAAGCTTTTAAAACCACTAATTTAACAGTGTGAGGATCAGGTTTCATATTTGGTTTGTTTTTTTTTTTTCCACATTTGAGTTATGTATAGCCTCAGAGTATATTTTTTCCAGTGACAGACTGTTAATTAAATAAATCTCTGCAAATCATCTGAATGGAAATGTATATGAAACGTTATCACTTATTCAAAAATATCAGTATTGGTTTTGTTTTGTATTGAGAAAATACTGTAGCTCATTTTCTATTACAAACTATGCTTAATATGTTATAGATGACAGGACCTGTATTGAAAAAAAGGGTTTGTTATTCACCAGATCCAAACTTAGAAAAGAGTTCTGAAATGAGATTTCTACCATTGCTTTTTGACTATAGTAGATTGCCTTAACATTGTGTGTGGCTTATCATAACACTGATGAAAATGTATTAAGTAGAAATAACGAGCAGTAATGTAAAAATGTATAATTTCAACATCACCTCCACATAAGAAATCTGTTTTAACATTAACTAAGTTATATCCTGTTAATGAACACTTAAAAAAGAAGTTAACTTAGCGTGGCAAGGAAATCACACTCAGTGTCAGATCCTGTACTGTTAGCACATACAGTGTATTACACAGGTATATTTCATAATTTTTCTTCCTTGGTGGTTGGCAATGTCTTCACAGCTCATGAACTCTGGTTTTGGGTTTTTCTAATGGCAAGACAGGTGTTAGCTTCTAAAAACCTGATTGCCCTGCAAAATGCAGATATTTGGAGTCTAAATGCTCCAAATACTTTGGCTGATGTGATATTTAGCATGCAGCATACAGCAAGCATGTAGCATACAACAAGATGTAGTTTGCTTACTTGCAATTATTAATGCAGATCTGTCAGAAATGCTTCCTCTTTCCTTGGTTTGTCTCTCTTTTTGTTTGGTTGCAAAATGAAGTAGATTTTTTGGGGAAAAAAAAATTGCTAATTTCTTGGCAAGGTGTCTACATTGAAAGAACCTGTATGGAACAGTTTATTTTTATGAGTCTAATGTTAGCAGTATTACCTCTTTTCCAGTAGATAAGAGACACACCATTCCTCACTAAACAATGATTCTGTAAATGTGGTAAGTTTCCAAAGAAAAAACCTAAACATTATGATGGTGAGATCTACCTCTGTTAACTTTAGATATATAAGCCTGAGCTAATCATCCAGACCTTTTCTTTTGGTCAATAGAGAGAAATAGGAAATGCATGCATCGTTTCAGCTCTTCCTAACCTGGCTAGGTGTGGAGAACTGACTTCCAGGACGAAGCCCTTCACGAAGCCCTCATCATTGCAGTAGTCCCCATGCACACCTGCATATGTGTACCCCAACACAGAGCAATGTCATGGCCAAAAATCTTGTGCAAGAGCATTAGCTGATCCTATAGTAAATACCGTCTTCAGCCTGTAGCGTTGTGAAACAACACTATAGTCTCACTCTTTAAATACAATGTATAAGGCACATTTCCCCATTCTCTATACTTACCTGCATTCCTAAAAGATTTCCTTAACATTCTCCATTCAGATGTGCAGCCTGGTTTACAACATTAAGAAGAGATTGCTGTGTAAAATAGACTATACTCCAATCATCGCTTCTAATTGCAGAGTTCACAGAGAAAAATATAATCAAGTGCCTTATGGCTCAGCTAAGAAGAAAACAAGAAGCTATCAATTTACTTTGATGAAACAAAGACTGGAACAAGTAGCTTTAATGCTATGGAAAACTTTTTTAATTGGGGACATTAAAGTTCTTATAAGTCTTGTGAATTTTTAATTTCTTACAGATTTCATCACTGTGGTAGTTCACTCTAGCTGTGAACTACACTGCACTGCAGAACTTAGTGAGTGAACTCCCTCTTCATTGTCAAAGATAAACTAATTTAATCCATGAAAGGCCTGGAGCCATAGGTGATAACAATAGCCTTAGATGCATTTAATATTTATATATTTTAAAATATTTTTACTTATTTATTGAAATTAGTTTTTTGACTTCTGTTTGTAAGTGATCTGTTAGGACACAGGATTATCAGAAGTGCAAAGTAAAGTTATCCTCTAGCAACTGCCTGAGAGCTTTCATATATACTTTATTGTTGTTATGGAATATAGCTCATTAGGATATTATATGAAGATTATATTACTAAAGTCTACACAAAATTCTGTGTATTTCATTAAAATACTCCTTTCCCGTCCAGAAATCGGCTTTCTCTGATGTTACATTTTGTTCTGTAACTGTGTTACATTGTATACTTAAACTAATTATTGATTGAAGAAAGCAATAAGCAGACTACTTACCTAAAAGAAAACAAGTTGAGGTACATATCCTCTGTATTTTAAGAGCATCTTTTGTGTTAGGTAATAATTCTAGTGTGCTATAAGCTTAATTTAAGATATCCCTAGTTAAGGATGGAAGGGAAAATACAGCATCTGACTTCATATTTAGCAAAGTAGTGGAAATAGATTAACTATATGATATTTGATCATGTACTAGGACCACTCAGAAGCCTAGCGTGCTCCTGAGCTCCAGGACTTTATTTGGGTTGATTTGTCTAAATCAAGTGTCTGGTAGTCACTCTAGAGCAAACCCTCCTTAGAGCAAAAGACATGCTTCAAAGGTAGGTATCTGTAATGAGTCATCTGAATTAAGATCTGAGCTGCATGCATCTTTCCAAGGGAGCCCAGAATGTCTAGCTGAGATATACAAGTCTGCTACATAGAATGGGATTCAGTTTACAGTTATGATATTTAAGTTTACAGGTCTGTATGCAGGTGCCTATACACTAGCTTTGGTGTCTAAATTGCTGTTACCATTAGTGGTGTTCTTGGAAATATGGTGACTAGAGAGCAGAAGGGTTACTCATTTGACCAGCCACTAGGAAAACACTGGTGAACACTGTTAAATTTATTCAACACCAAGGTATCATTGGTGTTGCATGTTACTGGTCTTCTTGTTTTGCTATGAAAAGAAAGTCATGACATTTGAGGACTTCGAAAAATAAGATGAGACCATCTGCTGCAATGACCTGCCAAGACAAGGCCAACTGAGAGTAGCCCAAGTTACCCAGAGCCATTTTGTAGGAGATTCTATAATCTCTCTGGGCTCCCATTCCAGTGCTGAGCCACCTTCATGTAATTTTTTTGGTAATATTTTCAGTTGGAATTTTGTTGCAACTTACACTTGTACACTTTTGTCCTTTCATTGTTTACCTTCAGGTGGTCTCTCCCTCCAGAGGTGAAATGAAAATATCAGGAAGTGTGAAAAGGGTGGTTTTTTCGCTGTTTGTCTTGTTTTATTCTGAACCTGGTTGCTTATTGGAATCACTGAGAAGTCCACCTGGCACCTTCTGTAACCTTTATTTAGATTAATATCAGCTTTATGTTTTAAGGCAAAGCTTTTGTTGTATTAATGCTATTTTTTTAAATATCAAACTTTAAATGACTGCTAGAGTCTTCTCTTTGTTTTTAGAGGCAGAATGTTCTACTGTAGAATTGTGTCGGTGAAACTTTGATTATGGCATACGATCCTTATGTTTCCTCCTTTTCCTTTAGGCTATTTTAAATATTTAATGTGTTGAAGAATGCAACATTTTTGTTTACTTCCTTGGGTGGTATTTAGTTGCATAGTGGATTAGATGACTCAGATATAAACTACAAATGAGTGACAGATATTTCTTGGTTCCCTATTTGACAAATGACAGGAAGTGACACATTCACTGTGCAATTTGTTTCCAAAAAAGAGGTGTTCCCTTTTGTCCTCCAAGATCTCAGCTTCAGCTTTCGGTAGGATAACTGTGTATTCCTAGAACATCAGCATTGTTATTTAATATGAGAAAACAGCATCTGGATATTTACTGCTACCTTTTTTTTTTTTTTGTTAAGGTCTAAGTATTGTACACATCTGAAAACAAAATAATATCTTTTTTGTCTATTGTACAGTGAGAGTTTATGGACTAGCATATAATTACAAAAAAAAAAAAAACCAACAACAAAAGAAAACCATCTGTTGTGATTTTTTTTTTTTTAAAAATGACTATATTTAAATAACATATCTACCTGAAGCTACAGATGACTTTTCTTTTTCTACTATGGCACAGGTACAGAAAAAAAAAAAAAAAGGGTTATTGCTTTTCTATAAAGCATTCTTTTTGTTTTTAACAATTCACTTTCTGCAGGGTAAATGTGTTTAAAATAGCTGGTTAAAGGTTATTGATCTTTGATGGTAATAGAGATTTCATGTACTTAATCAAAATCTTTTATAGTATTTCAAGCTGTGTGGATCTGTTTTGTTCTCTGAATATTAAGGGGATCATATTCAAGTGTCTCAAAAAATTGTCTATAGAGACAAAATAGTGTTCAAGTTCTATCCATTAGGTATGTTTTTGTGGTTCAAATTAGTTAAAATATTGTGCAGATTTCACAAAAATAGACCATGGTTTATTAAATTCTTACTACGAAATGGATTAAACCTTACTTTTCAGCTGCAAAGTAGAAGGAATAAATTCCTTTTTCTGCCTTGCAGCCTAGGTAAAATAAAAAATAAAAAATAAAAAAAAGAAGCTAAGGGTTAGTACAAAATCTTACACTGAAGACAGTTTTTAACATTAGCCAGAAACAGTCAACTCATAAATTACTATAATGAGGAGAATTTCCCTGAAGCCAACAGTTAACAACATAAAGGAAATAACATGTGCAGGAAAAGCTGATTCAGA